GACCTCCGTCCTGATTATCGAAGTCCTCTCTGGATCCTCGACCTCCTCCTCCTGGAGCTCCTCGAGAGCCTCCTCGTCCTGCAGGGGACAGGGGGAGTTAACACTTGGGGGAGGGGGGGGGCATTGAGGAGGCGGGGCTTGTTAGTCGACCATCAGCCAATCACAGAGCAGATGTTAAGGAGAAGAACCTCAAGCAAGTTACATTTCATGAGATTTGCTCGGGATGAAAGATGGAGGTGAAGATGACTCCTCCTCTGAGTCTCACTTTTTATATTTAGTTTTACAGTTTTTAAACTATTGCCAATCGTTTGGGGCCGTACCAAATGTTTGGATTCTTTTTAAGAATCTTTGAAGAATAAAATGTGTAAATGTCTTCGATAACATTTTTAAAAAATAATTACAAATTGTCAACAAAAAAAATTATTCACTCAAATCTATTCTGTGTTAATTTAAATACATTTTTAAAGCAAAGTCATTTTTACTCAGAGGAGAAACAACTGAAGAAGAAAACAGGACATCACTCACTCTCTCCAACTCTCTCTCTCTCTCTCTCTCACACACACACACACACACACACACACACGTACCTCCGCCGCCGCCTCCTCGCACGTCATCTTTCCGGAAGTCGAAGCCCCCTCCTCCGCCCCCGCCTCGGCCGCCCCCTGGGCCCCCCCTCTCTTGTCTCCGCCCTTCTGCGATGTCGACCCTCAGAGCCTTGTGATCCAGCAGCTGAAGCAGAAGATGAAGATGAAGAAGATGAAGAAGACTTAATTCATTCATTAATGTCCAAAGAGAAATTATTTTTACAGAGGTGAGAAGTCGCGTGTTACTGTTGAGCTCGACTGTACGAGTATGTAGTGTCTCTACTTTAAAGAGTCCTCTCCTGCTGATGTTCAGGTGTATATCAGTATGTAGTGTCTCTACTTTAAAGAGTCCTCTCCTGCTGATGTTCAGGTGTATATCAGTATGTAGTGTCTCTACTTTAAAGAGTCCTCTCCTGCTGATGTTCAGGTGTATATCAGTATGTAGTGTCTCTACTTTAAAGAGTCCTCTCCTGCTGATGTTCAGGTGTATATCAGTATGTAGTGTCTCTACTTTAAAGAGTCCTCTCCTGCTGATGTTCAGGTGTATATCAGTATGTAGTGTCTCTACTTTAAAGAGTCCTCTCCTGCTGATGTTCAGGTGTATATCAGTATGTAGTGTCTCTTCTTTAAAGAGTCCTCTCCTGCTGATGTTCTGGTGTATATCAGTATGTAGTGTCTCTACTTTAAAGAGTCCTCTCCTGCTGATGTTCAGGTGTATATCAGTATGTAGTGTCTCTACTTTAAAGAGTCCTCTCCTGCTGATGTTCAGGTGTATATCAGTATGTAGTGTCTCTACTTTAAAGAGTCCTCTCTTCATACTCACAGCGCCGTCGTACGTCAACGCTTCCTTTAGAGACTCCAGATCTTCAAACTCCACATAACAGAAGCCTGAAGAAGAGAAGGAAGCACACACGGAGGGGAACGGGATCAGAAAGGGACGATTCTAGGTGATAGGAAAGGAGCTTCAATGCTTCCTTTGTTATCCCCTTTTGAGGAAACACCAGAACATTCTTCAGGAAAGGAGATAATGCTGTCCCACGATTCCTTGCAAGGAGTTGTGGGACAGCAGTATCTCCTTTCCTTTCCTGAAGGATAGTCCGGTGTTTCCTAAAGGGGATACCAAAGGAAGCATTGAAGCTCCTTTCCTATCACCTAGAATCAGCGCGCTCTCATCTCGGCTGCAGGTCTGGATCAGGAATGATATTCAATCTAATATTTCATAATCCACTCCTGGGTGTTGTTGAGAAAGTGCCGAAGTTTTATTCAGTATTTGTTGTAGGATCTAAACTCGGTCCGCTTTGACAAACTAAAATACTCTTACATTTACAAAAAAAGGATCATATAATAAATGTGAAAACATCCATTCTGCATAAACAGTACATTTAGATAGAAATGGTGCTTTTACTCAATTAATGGAACCAAGTACTTCTTCCAATGCTTTCCTTTGCTAATGAATGACACACGAGAGAAAGTATTTATTAAATAAGGACAAATTAAAGTATTTTATAACTAAGCAAACCAAAGATAAAAGGCATCATGGGGACGTAAGAGCGTTCGCAGAACAAATCGGAGGATGAAGTTGTTTAATCCTAACTGGGTGTTTACGGTTTCAGGGTCTATGCAGGAGTCCTGAAGTCACATGGAAAACCTCTTAAGACCTTTTCTAAGACCCTTTCCATACATTTTAAGACCTCATCGCCACTTTGAGTTTTAACCGGTTACCTTGGCGACACACTTTACCTCACATTGACTATATACAGTATTGATTGTCCTTCCTCCTTATCTTCCAACCATTTGCGGTATATTTGGAACTTTAAGTATTTTTGGAACTTTAAGTATTTTTGGAATTTACGGTATTTTTGGAACTTTAAGTATATTTGGAATTTACAGTATTTTTGGAACTTTAAGTATTTTTGGAACTTTAAATATATTTGGAATTTACGGTATTTTTGGAACTTTAAGTATATTTGGAACTTTAAGTATATTTGGAATTTACGGTATTTTTGGAACTTTAAGTATTTTTGGAACTTTAAATATATTTGGAATTTACGGTATTTTTGGAACTTTAAGTATATTTGGAATTTACGGTATTTTTGGAACTTTAAATATATTTGGAATTTACGGTATTTTTGGAACTTTAAGTATATTTGGAACTTTAAGTATATTTGGAATTTACGGTATTTTTGGAACTTTAAATATATTTGGAATTTACGGTATTTTTGGAACTTTAAGTATATTTGGAATTTACGGTATTTTTGGAACTTTAAGTATATTTGGAATTTACGGTATTTTTGGAACTTTAAGTATATTTGGAATTTACTGTATTTTTGGAACTTTAAGTATATTTGGAATTTACGGTATTTTTGGAACTTTAAGTATATTTGGAACTTTAAGTATATTTGGAATTTACGGTATTTTTGGAACTTTAAGTATATTTGGAATTTACAGTATTTTTGGAACTTTAAATACATTTGGAATTTACGGTATTTTTGGAACTTTAAGTATATTTGGAATTTACGGTATTTTTGGAACTTTAAGTATATTTGGAATTTACAGTATTTTTGGAACTTTAAGTATTTTTGGAACTTTAAATATATTTGAAATTTACGGTATTTTTGGAACTTTAAGTATTTTTGGAATTTACAGTATTTTTGGATCTTTGGACCCTTTCCACACATTTTAAGACCTCATCGCCACTTTGAGTTTTAACCGGTTACCTTGGCGACACACTTTACCTCACATTGACTATATACAGTATTGATTGTCCTTCCTCCTTATCTTCCAACCATTTGGACGCAGACTTGCGTTTCCCCATAACGATGTTGTTTAACAACCGGCGTAAACGGACCTTCGCGCGCTATCAAGCAGTGAGCGTGCGATGTCCTGTTCAGACGACGTCAAACCCAACGGGATGCCATCAATAAACTACACAGAATCACACTACACACCTACGCAATGATTACATTCAGGCAGACTGTAGAATACAACCTCTTTGGACCATTTATATACTTATTGAAAACAAGCTACAAAATGTAATACCTTGGAAAATGCCGTTTAATACTTTTTAATAGCCTTAACTTTCGCTAAATTGATTTATCAACTTTTAATACTTTTTAAGACCCCGCGGACACTCTGGGTTTATTATTTATCTTGTCTTGATTACCATTTACCTTTCATGTATTTGTTTGTTTATTTATTTGTTTGTTTTTCAATAACAAATGTATTGTTTTAAGCAACAAATATATATATAGGTGTTAATAATTGAGTTTTTGGGAGAAGAGGTGGGATTAAATACCTTTTCGGATGTGTATTAGGTCGATTATTTGTTTATATATAATTTGTAAGTCAGTTATGTTTTTGTTTATCAATTTGATACTCCTTAAGTTTGTACAGTATCACAATTCTCATGTTTCATTTCATTATTATTTGTTTACACATTCGAAATAAATCAAATCAAGGTTTCCGGTACGGATCGGGCCTTGCCAGCGACTTCGTGGCACTGACCTTTGAACTTGTCTGTTTCTTTGTCGCGGACCAGCCTCACGCTGCGCATGTTGAGCTCTTTGAAGATGATGTCGATGTCGCCCTGCACGGCGTTCAGCGGCAGGTTCCCAACGTACGCCGTGAAGGGAGGCTCCGTGGGAAGCTCCTTCTGCTTCCTGCCGCCTGCCCGGGGCCTGGGGGGGGGGAACAATTACTACAACTATAACAGAATATATCTGTATTGTCTTCATACAAAGTACAACGGCATTTCTTTGGCAACTCTCACTGCAGTAAAAAAATAGACACAATAAATAAGAGTGGTAAAAAGCAGAGCGATGACAGAGCAACGAGATAACATGTCAATGAGCATATTCACACTTAGTCTAGAAATATATATTAGTAAAATAGCCATAAGTATTTCTAAATAGTTGTGGTTGCAGTCTTTGAGAAGTGTGTGTGTGTGTGTGTGTTCACAGTTGTTGTAATGTGCTCTAATAATAATAATAATGCTTGATTTAATATTTTAAAGATGAATGTATGTATGCATTTTCCTTGTGTAATAAGCTTAAAATAATCCAAGTTATAACAGTTGGGATATATGTGACTATTAAAAATTCTCTACCTACCTATCTATCCACCTACCTGCCTATCTATCCACCTATCTATCTACCTATCCACCCACCTACCTATCTATCCACATACCTATCTACCTATCTATCCACCTATCTATCTATCCACATACCTATCTACCTACCTACCTACCTACCTACCTATCTATCTATCTACCTATCCATCTATCCACCTACCTACCTACCTATCCATCTATCCACCTACCTACCTACCTACCTACCTACCTACCTATCCATCTATCCACCTACCTACCTACCTACCTACCTACCTACCTATCCATCTATCCACCTACCTACCTACCTACCTACCTACCTACCTACCTATCCATCTATCCACCTACCTACCTACCTATCTATCTACCTATCCATCTATCCACCTACCTACCTACCTATCCATCCATCTACCTACCTATCTATCCACCTACCTACCTATCTACCTACCTATCCATCTATCCACCTACCTACCTACCTATCCATCTATCCACCTACCTATCTACCTACCTATCTATCTACCTATCCATCTATCCATCTATCCACCTACCTATCTACCTATCTATCCACCTACCTACCTATCTACCTACCTATCCATCCATCTACCTACCTATCTATCCACCTAACTGCCTACCTACCTACCTACCTACCTAACTATCTTAATCAATGGGAACCGGTCAGTCAGTACGCCTGTTGGAAACACCTTATCACAGCTAATGGTGCTGATGTCAATCGTGAAAGTAAACAGTTGTAATGTTGGAAGTCAAAGAAATGACCGTTGTCGCTGCAGGGACACGAGGAGGTATGAATATCAGGGGGTTGTTATCTTTACAATAATACATATGTTTTAAGATCCCTGCAATTAATGTACCGTTTGAGTGTCAGTTTACAAATATATATATTATCCATTCTTTTAATACTAATAACATTAGAGCAGGTGCATTGTAATCTACTCATAACAGGATATAATACATCTGTGTTCTTGTTTTTTAACTAAACTTGTGACTTTGTTAGCAAATAAATAAAGTAAAATCTGTATCTGTTCCTCGAGGAGACTCAGCAGCCTGAAGCCAACACACTTTAAAAAAGAGGGGACCTATCCTGCTTGTTGTGGTGTTCCCTCTCCTGTAGGTGTTAGTGCATGTAAATGGTCTGCAGAGGCTACAATCCCTGTGTTTCTCTCCCACCCCCAAGTGGCCCAAACACCGCCATTCGATGTTTACTTCCTGAAAATAGTGACATCACTGTGGAACACTCACGCTCCTATTGGCTAGAGCTCCAACACATTGTACATGATAGACTAAGGGGCGGGACATCTGTATCTGGTGACCATTCACAACAGAGCCGGCGAGCTAACCAATCAGACTGGGCTCTGGTTTCAGAAACAGGGTTAAAATGTGCGCTGCAGCACAGGCAGTATGAGACAAATAAAGAGCTTTTTGAACATTAATTAATGAAGACATGTCCCAGTAGAGACTCTAGTCATATGAAGCAGGACATGAGCAGGATGTGTCCCCTTTAAGTGATCGGTAACAGATCGATACCCAGCCTCATGTCTGGAGGAGACGCTGCGGACACATGATGCAGCCATGCGGGCAGCCTGCACCTGATTCAACACATTATATTGCCATACGTCAGTATAAAGTACATCAATCTAGATATCCATGTACTGTACAGGTATATAACGCGCAGTTGCACTTTACGATGAAACGCTCAGCTCACCTACATATTAAGAAACTATACATACAAACAAACGTATGAGATAAAAACCTAGCATAAGAACATTTTACAGATATTAAAACAATTCCTGTCTCGGAATAAAAGTGCTGTAAAACTACCCCGGGATCTCCGTTTAAAACACGTTATTTTTCGGGTGTATTTCCCCCACATGTGTGTGCGTCAGACCGCGGTGTTTCCTGCCGCTGCGCCCGGCCTCCCCCCCCCCTCATGTCCGGCCTTCTGAGGGAGGGCCAGTCGGGGCCTGGTCCTCCTCACACACAGAGAACCGGGGAACACAGCACTATTTTCCGGCTCTCTGTCCGCGGTTGTCCGTGTGGAGGAAGTGTTGCCGGAGGAGACTCACCCTCTGCCGCCGCCGAAGCTCCCGTAGGCCCGGTCCCGATCCTCGTAGTTGTCGTAGTCCGCCATCACTGCTGCTGTGTGTCGGAGGAGGAGGTCCTTCACGTCACACGGGGAGCGGGTTGAGCTGTCCTCAGAGCGCCTGTCCGGGAAAAACACTGTCACTTTATTTTTTTATTAGTCAATTTATTGAACATGTCAGAAACAAAACAAGCAACAATAATAATAATTGTAATAATAATTTTAAGGCAAGGCAAGGCAAGTTTATTTATATAGCACCTTTCAACACAAGGCAATTCAAAGTGCTTTACAAAAATGGAAGACATTATGAAAATGGCATTTAAAATCAGTCATTAAAAAGAAAAGATAATAAAATAAACATTAAAAGAAAAAATACATGGATAAAAGTTAAAAGTTACAGTGCAGTTTAAGATGTGAATAGTTCAATTAAAAGCAGCGGCAAAAAGAAAAGTCTTCAGCCTGGATTTAAAAGTAGTAAGAGTTGCAGCGGACCTGCAGGTCTTCTTAACAAAGAAAAGCACAAAAAAAACCTCAAAAAGTCTCTGTCAAGAGGGGCAAGAAGAAGAAGCTTAAACACTTTTCTGGTCCTACCCCATCTAGCATAAATCTTTCTTGAAAATAAAAGATTAGGAAATCGTCCTCAGCATGGTGATATTGGATTCATTGTTTAAAACAAATAAAAAATAGTGTACAAAACAACCAAAAATAAATAACTTGTCTTTTAAGAAATAACAAGTATGAGTTCACAGGTCCTGCTCAGAACCAGGACAGATACAATGGACCTTTAATAATCCCCATGGGGAAATTCAGTAGTTCAAACAGTAACAGGGTAAGAAATGAGCGCCTGTCCGGGAACACACTAGATTCAAGATTCAAGGCTTTTTATTGTCATTTGTGCATAGCTACAGTGTCGATATGACAATGAAAGGTTGCTAACAAATTATCTCAGTATTATAAAGTAAAATGTTACTGTGCCTGTGGGTATGTTTATAATATTATGTCCACTTGTAATGTTTTGTTTGGCCTTATGATGGCGAAAATTGGATGACCATTTCAGTTTTCATTTCATACAGCACTGTAAATTGCATGAAATTATGAGCTGTTTTGTTTTGTTGTATGTATGTTTATGTATGTTTTGTGTGTGTGAGGACCCCGGGAAGAAGAGCCAATGCTCATGCTAGTGCTAATGGGGATCCTAATAAAGACATAAAGACTTAGGTCACAGGCTCCTCCAACAGTGCAACAACAATAAAACTGAAAATAGTAAATAAAATATAATATAATAGAAATAGTGCAGAATAGTCTATATACAAGTAATTGAAATATTGATATATATAAGTTGCAAACAGATGAATGTACCACTTTATTATAAGATAAGATAAGATAGACCTTTATTAATCCCCGTCAGTAGTTCAAACAGCAACAGGGTGAGAATGAAAAACAGCACAGATTCACACAAGATTAGAGATTAATACAATTAAAAGATCAAATAAAAATAAAATGATATACACTTAAAATAATAAATGAATTAAAATGAACATATATACATATTTGGGGCATACATATTAGATATATTTACAGGTATGTGTGAAAACAGTGTGTTTTTTTATATTATATTACTCACAAAACACATCTTCCAGAAATAATAATATTCAAATAATGATATGATAAAAACTAGAACCAGTTACCTCTCCCAGTTCCCAAAGGTTAAATAAATCAATGTTAAAATCAGGAATTTAACATTTTAAAAACATTATTGTATTACTCTCATATATATATATATATATCAAATATCCTATATATTTTCTTTTTTTTAAAACTCTGAATTGTAGTGAAGTAGAAATACAAAGTAGTATAAAATAGAAATACTCAAGTGAAGTACAAGTACCTCAACATTGTACCCACCGTGACACGGGGGTCACATGAACTTTAAATGTTCTGGAAAGTTCCTTAGCTTTAGCCTTTAAGTCCCTCAGTGACACCCTGAACAGTCTGGGGGGGTCATGGTCCAGGTCATGTGACTTTGTGTTCCCATAGCAACATGTCCAAGATGTCCATGTGCCAGGTTAACACATGTGACAGAACGAGCTACATTTCAAAAGCTTTTTTTGTTTGTTGCTAAAGGTAAAATTCAAGCCATTTAAGAATGAAAATGCTTACATAACATGTCCTTTATTACATTTAACCTGTTGTGGAAACATTTCTTGATCAAATTGATATGAAACAAATGAGACAAACATTGCTGTGACACTGCTGTCACATCGGGACTTTAACCCTAAACGTTCACAGTAAACCCGGAGTGACATATATGCACAATTAGAAATATGATTATGATCTGCTCAGTCAAATTAGCTGATTCAATTATATTTAGTTAATATATTCTTTATTCTTCAATTCAAATAATGTTCAAACTAATTTAAACCAAAAAATCATCCTCATTAATGAAGTTATATATAAGAGTTATTTTACCATTAAAGCCCAATGTGACATATATGTCACATTTCAGATCTCTGACACTAGGGGGGGTTACTTGTCAGAAATGTGTAGGTGGTCTATTTAGTCTAAATGATGTTCCCCTTAATTTCCCCAAAAGTAGCTAACTTATGGGTTAAGGACAGTACTTGAGAAAAATATACTTAGTTACTTCCCACCTCTGACTGGGAGACACACAAAAGATGCATACTTTTTTTAAAGCTAAGAAAAAGAGAGAAAAACAAAAGGTGACCTTACAAAAAATAATGTGAAATACACAGTTAGGGTTATATCATTACACTACATAACACACACCTGCCCACCTTTAGCCTTTCATAAAAGCTCATCCGGCATCAATCATCTCGTCTCTTTGTGAGATGAATGTATTTATGCATTTGCCTCTAATCTAAATTATAACAGATGGGATTTCTGTTTAAACAAAAAACTGTTTTCTGTAAATAGTGTAAAAATAATCAGATACAAGTCAAAGTCCTGCATTCATCCTCATACATGTAAAAGTGAGAGAAGAGAATCATGAATATTATTATAGTTATGATGTTCATCAGGGGGGGGGGGGGATATATATGGCATATATATATGCCATATATATCATTTTGCTTTACACTACAGGTGAAAATGGAAGCTGCCCAGTCACTGAAATAAAGACGGATATTATTTATGTTACAAGTTGTCAGTTTAAATATGAAACTAAGCAAGAGGTGCAAAAAGTTCTTTATTTTGTTACTTTATTCAAGAAAAAATAGGAACATGACAACATATTCACTAAACCATTCATTAGTGGTGCACAGACAAAGTAGAAAGTAAAACAAAAGCAGGTATTTAAAATAAAATATATCCAAATTGTTTTTATTGCCTTCAGAATTATGTGTTTTTTTAATTGTGGTTTCATACTGATGGAGTTCTGGCTAGAAACTGTGTCAGTGGGTATTTCTCAATGTCGAGGATGCTTCCTTGGTAGGACAAGTCCCTATACGAGTCAGGTCCATCAGAGGCTAGCAAGTGTGCAGGTGTGCGTCATATGAGAGGCTTACGTCATATGAGAGGCTTACATTTTCCGCCAAAGATTTTGGAAATTGGTCCGTGCGCAAAGCATTGTGGGGATTTTAAGACCGCGGAGGATACACTGGTGCATCCTCGAAATGTCTTGCAGCGAAGGATTCAGTCCTCGGTAGAATTCCAAGGATCCTGGACATTGGAACAGTCCTTCGGCGGGATTCGATGACGTAGCATCCTTGAAATAGTGGCTTGGAAGCCAATATCCTCGCGATTGAGAAACGGCCACAGCCTCACCAGCCATGAACCTCACCGCACGTCACTGACTACTTCTACTACTGCTACTATTACTTCCTTGACATTGAGAAACACCCAGTCCATCTATTGTATTCTAGTGGATGTTAAATATTCCCATAGATTAAATTAACAACAAGAAGAAATATAAATATCTTCTCCATCCCATCACCTTCAAATTATAAATACATGTCTCTTTCCACAAATGTGATTGTTTGCCCATTTTTCCTTTTTTAACAGGCCGACTGTTCAACATTAAACCAATGACACATTTTTCTTCTTATTCACAGAAAGATTTTTATAAAGGTATTAATCCTCCATTTGTTGATTGATAGTTGTTTCAATTTCATTTTGAGTCTCCATAATGATTGGATTGCATCATTTTCACAAATAAAAACATTTAAACCTGTATATTTCATTATATTATTCTCATAAATGCTGGATTATCTTATTTATTTGTATTTTCTTCTGCCACTTCCTCACAGAGCCCCTCCTCCAACACACACGAACGCACACATGACCAATGAGGGCACGAGATAAGTTTGTGCACAGATGGAAGGCTGACAGGCAGGTAGGCCATCCAGTTATTTTAGCCGGGCCGGCTCAGATGATTGGTCGTGCTTTTTACAGTACTACGGCTTCCACAGATGACATTTATTATGGATTTATTGTCAAAGCACTTAAGATATTCATTGCTATCGGGATGTTAAGAGCATTCCATGGAATATAACAACAAGTGTATCTGAAGTGAATTACCTACCCCACCTTTAACACAGGTTAAAATTAAAATAAATTACGTATTTAATGAATGCAGGGGAACAGGTTTTGAACAATTTCTCGAGTACTAATATCATGGCTTTAAGAAATGAACTTAAATGTATTTATTTAGGATCAACCCCTTGAGATGAACCCTCTCGTTTTCAAGGGGCTTGTAACATCAAGACAGTAAAAAACAAACAAATCAAGTCACAATACAACCAACAGACTACTACAATCACAACACACACATTGTCCAAGTGTGTGTCCACAGAGAGTTCATGAAGAGTTTGTATGTGCTGATTTATCAAAAGCAGGTACAATTCACAGCAAAATAAGAATGAAAGCATCGTATGTTTGGTGGTAAGGTATTCCAATCTGAAGGAGCGCTGAACATAAATGATCTATCTCTAATAAGATATGTGCATTGGACTAATGGGACCAAATACGTTCCAAAAAACAAGACAATAAAATAGAGGTCAAATAATTCTCTTATGCAGTGAGCAAAACATTGGATACAGGACAGACAGATTTGAAGGGGATGAGTGAGTTTGGAAGACCCTCAGGCCGGAGTCGAACCCCCGGTCGCTGCAGCTGGACTGCAGCAGGTTTTCTGAACCTGGTTCTCAGCCAGCGCTTCTTTAGCCAGGTAATGCTCTCTCTTGATCTTCATCTCCACTTCCTCGGGGACATCGGGAACCATCAGGTCGATCATTCGGCCGATGAAGAACACCACGTGCTGAGGAGGGGAGAGGAGGTCAGGGTTAGTGATGTTACGTTCACCAACGATCCGATTCTTTTGAACGGCTCTTTGGTACGAACGAAGGGAACCGAGTCATACTTGGTGAGAGGCGTTCTTTTTATCGTTGGTTCACTGTAGTAGCGTAGGCAGACAGTTACTTTAGGGCGGGCCTGTATGAAATAGGGTGGGCCAGCTTTTTCCAGGGGGAAAAATGACTTTAAGGTAGGTCTGACCTATAATAATAATATATAATAATGCCCATTGCCAAGCATCGTTGTAGCATTTCCCTCAGAATAATGGTGGAAGACCTGACTGATGATATGAATTCATTGAAATCTCCAATATCAACGTAAGAGCTATAAAGACACAAAAATAACAAATACATTTAGGCTCCATCCGTATTAGAATCACTTTAGCATGCTACCAAAAGTGAACTGTAAACAGACAGCAAAGCTACAAAACAGCTTATAAACGAATTAGCACAAAACCCACATTTTTATATTATAGTTAATACCAACTTGGTGCCTCTTCGGGGGGGTGCTAAACTTAAACATAAACTTTATCCTTTACTTTCTCCGTCTTTATATGCAGATTAATCTCCGCTCCTTTTCTCCGTCACGTTGTTTCCATAGCAACAACAACTTCCTGTCAACAGCGTAAACTCGCCTTCAAAATAAAAGCATGTAAATAACACAGGACGTTAACCTAAATTACATTTAACACATATTTAGCACTGCAACGAAAGTAACAAAAACAACGTAATATCCTTTTCAGTTTCACAGAACACAAATTGGGTTATTAACAATCGTTAGGTAACTATTTTATTGCACTAACAGCAACAATAGGTTGTAGCATTCAAACCTGCTCATGGACTTGCAGTGGTCCTCGCTTTGTTTATGTCTCTCCAACGAGTTACGCTGTGCTTCCAGTCTACATATCCCTCGTGAATGCACCTTCAGCTCCTGGGCTGGGGAAATGTCTGCACATTGTACAGAAAAGCGTGTCCCTGCAGGCAGCTCTCTGCCTCTCTCACGTTACTATGGCGCCCGCCGGAAACAACAACCAGTTTTTACCGTAAATGAGTTTGGTTCAGAGGATAAAACACATACAACATTAATTCAACTCGATATTTGTTCACTTGAATTTCACTTTGAATGCTTGGATATTCTCAACGGGTGAATACATTTTTTTATTCCCTCCCCTTTTATTTTTTAAAGAAATTCTCAGTGTGGGCCAATGAGTAAACTGGGTGGGCCTGGGCCTGGGCCCTATGGTGGCTACGCCACTGGTTCACTGCCTGCCATAAATCCACTCGCCTTTAAAGGAACTTGCTTTCCTGAATGCAAATGTTCCGTAGATGATGGCGTAACGCTGCTTGAGTAGTAGTCTGGCTGAGAGATGAAGCAAGTTATACATTTTTCTGTGAGTAAAAGTAGATTTCTGGCGATACAGTCAATCATTACCCTGGTGATTATTTCTCAGATAAACCTAGTAACCCCGCCCCCTTAAAAAAAAACTGCTCTTTTGAACGGCTCTCAGAAAGGAACGGAGCCATGAGATCAGGCTCCCTTCAAAGAGTCGTAATTCCCATCACTAGTCAGGGTGAGGGCACGGTCGGGATGACGTTTAGTCGTCTCATTTAGACACTTGTTGGAAACCTCTGTTTTTAAATCCACCAGTGGGGTATTTACTGACATATTTTATGTCATAGAACGAAACGTTAAAATCTCTTCAGCTTGTGTTAACCACAGATCTTATTTCAGGATAACAACCAGAAACACATTCAGAAAACCATTGAAGAGAGACCAAGGGACAGGAAGTGAGGAAATGCTGAGTCATGTCAGAGTTCAGGACTCATTCCTGCAGTTGGACTCTAAAACAAAACTTAAAACACGGACCTCAAACACGATGACGAAGGCGAGTCGTATGGCGAGGAGGTGATAGTACTCAGGGAGGTAGTGTCCTTCTTCGTCCCTCAAATCCAGATACCTGTTCAGCACAGCATAGAAAACAACAACTTCATCAACAGCTTGCATTTCCTGTTGCGTGTTGTTGGTGACGTTGCCTACCTGCACCGTGTGTTGTTGCTTGGTGATGTTGCCAGAGTGAAGTTGATGAAGCCATTGAGATTGCTGTCTCTGGTGTGGCGGTAGTACAGGCGAGGCAGGAAGGACGAGGTGAAGGCGATGAGGAAAGCCTGAAAACAGGTGTGGAAAAGTTCACATTCTGAGAAGATGAGTCAGCAATTTGAATCTCTAACGCTCATGTGAGACAGACAGGAACTTTGAGGGTGAAATCATAAGGAATGCACAGCTGTATTTCTGTGTTGGACCCTGAAGGCAATAACGTGCAATAACGTCACTGCAGCTCTGTATTCTATTCTATTTTATTTGTATTTACTTGCACTATTTAAACTATTTTATCTGTTTTATTGTGTTGCACTGTTAGAGGAGCCTGTGACTGTAGCTATGTAAACATGACAATACAAGCCTTGAATCTTGAGTATTGTCTCCTGAGAGTCTTACGTTGCTGAAAGCGGCGATGTGTGTGATGAGCTGCCTGAAAACAGGTTTGGAAAAGTTAAGATTCTGAGAAGATGAGTCAGCAATTTGAATCTCTAACGTGAGACAAATAGGAACGTTGAGGGTGAATCATAAGGAATATACATTTGCAGGGATGATCTGTGTTGGACCCTGAAGGCAATAACGTCACTGCAGCTCTGTATTGTCTGCGGAGAGTCTTACGTTGCTGAAAACGGCCACGTGTGTGATGAGCTGCAGGATGGGTAGCCAGATGCCGAGGTCCTGCACTCGCTCCACCACCGGGCGGCGATATTCAGTCACAAACTTCTGAGCATCCAGGCGGATCTCCACCCAGTTATTGATGAGAGCGAAGAAAGGGGCGAGAGGAAACGCCGCCACGAAGATGGTGATGAAACCAAACTGGATCACTGAGGAGGAAGAGGGAGTCGTTACATCTCCGTTAACCCCACCAGTCAGGGAGAAACAGGTGAACAAATCCAGAGGTGGAAGAAGTACTCAGATCTTGTACCTGAGTAAAAGTAGAAGTACTCAGATCTTGTACTTGAGTAAAAGTAGAAGTACTCAGATCTTGTACTTGAGTAAAAGTAGAAGTACTCAGATCTTGTACTTGAGTAACAGTAGAAGTACTCAGATCTTGTACTTGAGTAAAAGTAGAAGTACTCAGATCTTGTACTTGAGTAACAGTAGAAGTACTCAGATCTTGTACTAGAGTAAAAGTAGAAGTACTCAGATCTTGTACTTGAGTAAAAGTAGAAGTACTCAGATCTTTAAGTAAAAGTAGAAGTACTCAGATCTTGTACTTGAGTAAAAGTAGAAGTACTCAGATCTTGTACTTGAGTAAAAGTAGAAGTACTCAGATCTTGTACTTGAGTAACAGTAGAAGTACTCAGATCTTGTACTAGAGTAAAAGTAGAAGTACTCAGATCTTGTACTTGAGTAAAAGTAGAAGTACCAGAGTGTAGGAATACTCTGTTACAGTAAAAGTACTGCATTCAAAATGTTCCTCAAGTGAAAGTAGAAAAGTATTATCATCAAAATATAGTGAAAGTAGCGACAGTGAAAGTAGTCGTTGAGCAGATTGGTCCATTTCAGAATAATATATACGATATGTTTTATAATGATTGATCATGAAAGTGTTCTCAAAGCTGGTAAAGGTGCAGCTAGTTTGAATGACTTTGTATACTGCAGGGTAGCTTGTGGATTTACTCCAGGTGGAACTAAAGTCTGAGTTAAAGGGGACCTATCATGCAAAATGCACTTGTGTACGTCTTTTATACATGAATATGTGTCCCCGGTGTTCCAGGGAACTCACCAAGTGTCAGAAAACACAACCCTCTCTATTTTCCTCCATACCCAAATCTCTAAAAAAGGGGCTGCAACGGATCTGATAAAAACTGATCCAGATTTGAACACTGTCCTGACGTCAGGACGGTGGCGCTACGGCTATTGGGCCAACTCCACCAATCAGGAGGAGACAGCCACGGCCATTGCCGTTCGAAAGCGCTGGAGACGCTGTAGTACATATGCCAGGCCAGTAGGTGGTGCTGTTCTCACTGAATCTGCCCTTGCTAAAACAGGGCTAAAAAAGTGCAAATTGAGCAAAATGAGGCATGGCTAAAATGCATGATCTGTTTGGTATTTTGAAAAAAAATAAGTATAAATATGCCTTATATAGGTATGGTCCTACACTATATTATTCAAATATAGCATGATAGGTCCACTTTAACACTTGATTATATTTCACATCATTCATCCACATCTGTAAAGTAACTAAAGGGATTAAAATACAATACTTGATGCACTTGTAACTCTCACCCATCTCCAGGTATTCGCTGAAGAGTCCCTCGCAGACCAGCAGCTGGTAATCTGCCTCCCAGGGACAAACCTCCTCTTCATCCCCTTCCCCTCCTCCTCTTCATCACCCTTCCCTTCCTCCTCTTCATCCCCCTTCCCTTTCTCCTCTTTCTCCCCCTTCTCCTCCTTCAGCCGAGGACTTCTGTTCCTCTTCTGCCACCACGACTTCAGCTTCCTGCAAAATAGTGAGCTCTCACTTTTACTCGCAGTTAGAAAAGAGACAGGTCAAGTTACATTTTGATTTTGTTCAAAAATAAAATGTTTCTGTGAAATTGTTTGCCTGGAATTTGGGAATATCTGTTATTTTTTCTTAAAAATTTGTAAAATATGAAAAATATTCGAAGAACATCTCTATCTCTAGTGTGTGGAAGAGAAACTCCCTCAGGAGGGAACACAGGGATCTTAGCCGTTGCAGACCGTTTACATGCACAGAAACCTATAGAACAGACTACAGGGCCTCTTTAACTCAAACAGCTTCAACATAAAGTTTGAATATAAAATGTAAAGAAACATCACAGGGTGACAACAATTAAGTTGTTTTTTGTTTATGAACGTGTTTGATTTGTGTTGTGTGTTGTTTTTACGGTAAGAGGAACTCCTGGATGTTGTTGATCAGCTGTTTTCCCACCATGATGATCAGCAGCTCCTGAGCCAATTCAACGAGGCATCCCCCGGCTCCACACTGTCACACAGACACACACACAAAATCACAAATGAGACGACTAAACGCCATCACGCCCACCATTAGCAGCCTTTAGCTTAGCGGTGGTGACGTGAAGTCATGTGACCGTGCTGTAGTTCCTTTATAGCCCAACATTAGTCACCTTTAGCTTAGCGGTGGTGATGTGAAGTCATGTGACCGTACTGTAGTTCCTTTATAGCCCAACATTAGCCTCCTTTAGCTTAGCGGTGGTGACGTGAAGTCATGTGACCGTGCTGTAGTTCCTTTATAGCCTAACATTAGCCACCTTTAGCTTAGCGGTGGTGACGTGAAGTCATGTGACCGTGCTGTAGTTCCTTTATAGCCCAACATTAGCCACCGTTAGCTTAGCGGTGGTGACGTGAAGTCATGTGACCGTGCTGTAGTCCCTTTATAGCCTAACATTAGCCACCTTTAGCTTAGCGGTGGTGACGTGAAGTCATGTGACCGTGCTGTAGTTCCTTTATAGCCCAACATTAGCCACCTTTAGCTTAGCGGTGGTAACGTGAAGTCATGTGACCGTGCTGTAGTTCCTTTATAGCCCAACATTAGCCACCTTTAGCTTAGCGGTGGTGACGTGAAGTCATGTGACCGTGCTGTAGCTCCTTTATAGCCCAACATTAGCCACCTTTAGCTTAGCGGTGGTGACGTGAAGTCATGTGACTGTGCTGTAGTTCCTTTATAGCCCAACATTAGCCGCCTTTAGCTTAGCGGTGGTAACGTGAAGTCATTAGACCGTGCTGCAGTTCCTTTATAGCCCAACATTAGCCACCTTTAGCTTAGCGGTGGTGATGTGAAGTCATGTGACCGTGCTGTAGTTCCTTTATAGCCCAACATTAGCTACCTTTAGCTTAGCGGTGGTGACGTGAAGTCATGTGACCGTGCTGCAGTTCCTTTATAGCCCAACATTAGCCTCCTTTAGCTTAGCGGTGGTGACGTGAAGTCATGTGACCGTGCTGTAGTTCCTTTATAGCCCAACATTAGCCGCCTTTAGCTAAAACATAATGTGTATATATGTACAGTATTAATATACTGCAGACTCACATCTTCGTTGCGAATTCCTAGCAGAGTGTTGTATTTTCCAGGATAACCAACAAACCTGAACAAACACAAACAAATTAACAGCTGGTTACACATTTTTTCTGTTACACAAATGTTTTACAGTACAAAAAGTGTATGTGTTTGTGTCGTTATGGCAGCGTCCTCAAAGAAGGATAAACTACATCCACCATGGTAACATTGTGGATGTAGTTTCGGTACACGCCGCCATCTTGGATCATCACATGTATACGAGGCAACAATGCACAAAGCAGCGATTGGTTTAATCAAAAGCATGCTTACATATTCTGTGCAAGAGCCCTGTTTATTCCTGAATTGATACAGGTGCAAACGCTCAACGGCCCAAATGTTTTGTATTTGCAGCGTTTGGTTTCTGCAGCTTTTAGTAAACGCTGCGCATGTTCCCTCAAGTTGCTGAATGTTTTCTAAACGCTGCGTTTGTTGTCAAGTTGATGAACATGACTCTTCGATTTGTTTTGGTACATTTGTGTTTTTATATCTGCGTCGTTTCTGAAACATCCATTTTCGACAAACCGAGCCAAAGACATTGAGTGATCCGTGTTGTGATTGGTTGAATTATTCCTTACCTGCCTTTGAAGAAGGCGATGTAAACCGGAGACGAGTAGAAGTTGATGAACTGGAAGATGAACACTTTGAGGATGAACATGTCTTCATATTTAGACTGAGTCCGGTGCATCTCTGACGGGAAGAACACAACATATACATAAAGGAATACTACACACACTATACACACTCCTACACACTGTACACACTGTACACACTATACACACTATACACACTGTACACACTCCTACACACTGTACACACTGTACACACTATACACACTATACACACTGTACACACTATACACACTGTACACACTGTACACACACTATACACACTGTACACACTATACACACTATACACACTGTACACACTATACACACTATACACACTGTACACACTGTACACACTGTACACACCAGAATAAATCAATAATGTAATCCTACACATACGCTTTTAATCTGGCAGCGTTGCCTTTAGGTGGTTCTCAACTATCATCAAACATCACACAAATATTTTTGTCCAATTTTACATCCCTACTATGATATTGACAAGTAAATTCCTGTTACTTTTACAATAATGTTCAAATGTTTGGTTTAATCCAGGTGCCTTTGTTGGCTAATGTTGAGGTAACTAGATACATGATTTAAAAAGGCAGAAATAATAAACATAATGGTTAGAAGCCCCAAAAAGTTGCCTCAAACACGGAACAACTGATTATAATAATCAAAAATTAATTTATTATTATTATCTATAAAATATTAAATTGCCAACAGTTTTCAAACAAAGACGCAAAACAGTGAAGATTTTTAAAAACAAGTACAACTGACAATATGTAAAAACTAAAAACTGATAAAAACATTTAAACTAAATCTTCTTCAGTTTTTGTTCACCAGAACTAATCTGAAATGTGTCTGAAATAACTTTTCATTCAATGGCAACATCTAAAACAGAGGGTGAGGAGGGTGAGGAGGGTGAGGAGGCAGGTGTGACTCACCCCAGCGCGTGAGGATGTGAGCCAGCGAGGTGTAAACTTTGGACAACATGAGGATCACCAACAGGTTCAACACAGATCCTGTGATACTGGCTATCCTTGAGGCCTGAGAAAAGACAGAAATGTGAAGTCACTCAGTTGTGGGGTTCCCCAGGGAAGCGTCCTGGAGCCTCTGTTGTTTCTCTTATACCCTAAATAAACTATATATATATAATACATCTTGACGTTTTATTTGATTGGTCATTAGATAATTATTTCCTTTTGAAAAACATGTTTTCGAATAAACCGTTTCTTATAATGTAGTCAAGCATTATTTTACAAATACATGTTTAAAATCATAAAATATGGCAACAAAACTTCAAAAAAATATTTCCTACAACTCATTTTTAGTTATAACTTATAATAATAAAATAGACATTGTCTCAGAACAATTTTAAAGATTTAAAGAAACACTTTAAAACGTTTCCTGTTTTGTTATACTCACAAAGCCGGTTAAAGCGGTGTCCGACTTGTCGATAACGATGGTCAGGATGGTGCGATACAGGATGATGGCCATGAGGAACATCAGCACAACAGCAACCTGCACACAGGTTGTTGAATATCTACAAATCATTTTCACTTTTAGAAAGAAAGAAATCATTAACATCTGGAAAACTCCAACCATTGATTCTTGTTGTCAGCTCCAGTGGATGGAATGGAAACTCAATGTCAGAGCACAGGAGGAAGACATTAGTCGCTTTCACACCAAGTGCTTAGCCAGTACTTGTCCCCGGTACTTGTCCCCGGTACTTGTTCCCCCCGAACTCTTTAGTCCCTGGAACTGTCCTAGCAGATCGCCACCTCTTCTTCTTCTGCTTTGGGTTCACAAAACCTTTCGGAGTTTTACGGGGCGTGGTTTGCAATTCGCCCAGCCAAACAGAAATTGTTAGTGTGGCCGACACACCCACGAACCATTTCCTCCTCAGGAAAGTACCACCTCTCTAGCAGGGACTATCTGGGGGTGAAAAGGTTTGCGCAAACTAAGGACAAGTTCCAGATCCTTTTTGGTGTGAAACCAAATCTCCCCCCCCTATCGGCCTAGTTCAGGGGGGAAAAGTACTCCGGTGTGAAAGCGCCTATTCAGATAATTAACTTAGTACTAAGTACAAATACACTGTTACAAGTAAAAGTCCTGCATTAAAAAGGTTATTCATCAAGTGTCCCTGTGTTTCATTACATCCCAGTGTCAGAGGACAGAGGAGACTCACCATGATGATGATGGCCATGAAGCCGGTCAGCGTTCGGTTGATTCGTTTATTTTCAGGAAAGTAGGGTTCCTCCGCTCCCGTCACCGGGTTCCTGATCGTCATCGGCGCCATGGCCGTGAACTCCGGGCGAGGTCGCTCCTGTGGAGGATGGAGACAGAGATATATAGTACAGGGGTGTGCAAACGTTTTCCAACAAGGGCCACATACAGAAACATATACCAAGGGCTGGGCCACTCACTAGAGGTGTATCGCCTCAAAAGAAATCAATCAAATGTAGGTAAATTATTCTTGATACTTGAAAATGCTTTAAGAAACAAACAGCCTCTGTCACAGCTCTCCACATGGTTTCATTGATTGTGTTGGCAGCTCATTCCTTCAAACAGAAGCTTCAGATTGATTATGATAAGAGGAAATATGAAGGGTTTATTTCAAGGTTATGTACATTTATTATGTCTTATCAACTTAGATTTGTTAGAAAATGTTTTCAACTTGAATTGACTGAATCTATTTGAAAATTTAGCTTATTAACAAATGAATACTGTGTTATATATTTGAACATATATATTTAAGAAGTACAATATAAGACAAGCAGAAGTTTCATTTGTGGGCCATATTCCCTTATACCTTTTTGAATTTGCTGAGGGCCGATTCAAAATGGTCTGCGGGCCGCATTTGGCCCCTGAGCCATAGTTTGGACACCCTAACTACACCCTACATACTGGTATAGTATAACACATTTATTCTTTAACACATTTGTTCCTATACCCAATATGATGACCCAGAGGAGCATCTCATAAATCAGCGATCAACGCGTCCTCATACCTAAACGTAACTGTTTGGTAACGCTGTCTGGTGGATGTGATTGAATACGTCAACTACTGAACTTACGTACAAGTTCGAGTTACTTGTACATTACTTGAGTTTTTTTAATTCTATGCCACTCATTTCATTTCAGAAGCCATTCAAAGTCTGACATGTGTATTTGAATCACCCATCCATCACCCTCCTCCTTATGCTCACTGTGTTGCTACTATATACTCTGCCACTAGAGGTCGCCGTCTAACAAAAAAAACCTAAATACGATTCATACTCAGCTGATTTACAGATCATGTTTTTGGTCTCTCAATTACATTTACCAGTCCCATATATTTAAAAACACTAAGCCTAATTTAGTTGCACATGTCTTATTCACTCATTGTTAATATCTGTATTTGTGGATGTCATTGTTTGTGCTTGTAAAAAACAACCTAATCTAGTCCTGCTTCATCTGCCGTGAGGTTGTCAAATATCACACAAGTTATGTACAGTGCTTGATGTGAGGGGACAAAAGTGCCAGTACTCCCTCATTTACATTGTATACAAATACATTTAAGATACTAGGAGATATTGTTGTGCTTCACAACACAAGTTTTTTTTTAAAAGGGAACCATGTCAATGATTTGATTGCATTCGCTTTAGTTTGTGGTGCTAAAACTCATCAGGGCTGACATGGACATCTGTTTGGGGGGGCCAACAGTCGGGCATTTCATCACCAGGCTGTTGATGGGTCGCTAATGTTGGCTTGCTCCTGGCCTGAACTAATCAACGTAGGGTTTGACTTTTAAAATCTGGCGTGTCATCGTCCGTCTCATCTTCGTGTTAACCTTTTGGAGCCAGGTCAACATTATATTAGTGATGTGACGTTCGCGAACGATCCACTTCTTTTGAACGACTCTTTGGTACGAACGAAGGTGAGAGCCGTTCTTTTTATCGTTGGTTCTCTGCCTGCCATGAATCCACTCGCCTTTACGGCAACTTGCTTTCCTGAATGCAAATGTTCCGTAGATGATGGCGTAACGCTGCTTGAGTAGTAGTCTGGCTGAGAGATGAAGCAAGTTATACATTTTTCTGTGAGTAAAAGTAGATTTCTGGCGATACAGTCAATCATTACCCTGGTGATTATTTCACAGATAAACCGAGTAGCCCCGCCCCCTTAAAAAAAACTGCTCTTTTGAACGGCTCTCGGAAAGGAACGGAGCCTAGACTAGCCGCCGACTAGTAGAGGATGTAGTTTAGGTTCTGTGAGCGTGCAGCTTTGAGAATCTGCTGAGAACGCAATGCTTCCTGGGAAAAGCAGTTTTTTCCCGATTGAATGGCAAACGGATCAATTGAACAGAGCATTGATTAGAGAACCAGCAGCCGGTGAGAAGAGTCGGTACGATACTAAAAGTCACGGTACACCAAAGAGTAAAGTGCTGGTAACAGCCCACTTCAAGCACTGGTTATGTATGATTACATGCACAGTGTACTTAAAGGTCCCCTCTCTTCCTCTTCTTCATCAATATATCACAGGTCTCAGATATATACAGAGCCTGTCTCTGATTGGCTGAAATACCAAACAGATCATTGCAGCATTACCCATAACCCCCTCTGTTTCAGCCCTGTTTCCAAAGAGCTGATTCTCTGTCTGTTACTTTAGATGAAAATAAGGAGCCCCTCCCCACGCCCCTCTGAGAGAGATTTGGTTACAAAGAACTCAATGGTGCTCTAGGAGGAGATTCAGGTGATAAGGTGGGGGGGGGGGTACCTTGGTTGGTGATTGGCTAGAGGGGACACATGTTGATGTAGAAGAGACATGAAGAAGAGGGGACACATGTTGATGTAGAAGAGACATGAGGAAGAGGATTTTGCACAATAGGTGACCTTTAAAGTACGGTAACACAGCAACAGGAGAGATAGAGATGGAGAGACACAGAGACCAACTCCAACAAAGTGGCTCAAAAGTAGGCGAGTTAATAACAAGAGAGGCGAAGTTACGATGCCAATTTGTTCCGCTCCCACTCCCTCACATTGTCTGGTTGGGTTTCCCCGTCTCCTCCCATCACGTCATCCTCGCTGCCATCTGTGGCATTTGATACGCAGCATTTATCATTTTATTAGCCTGTTTTGCCAAGTTAAACAAGATTTGGTATAATAGGTGACCTGTAAGACCTGTGAGACAGGTGTGGTGTGAGACAGATGTGGTGTGAGACAGGTGTGGTGTGAGACAGATGTGGTGTGAGACAGGTGTGGTGTGAGACAGGTACCTCGATGTCCTGGAATTCGGAGCAGTCCCAGCGGTGAGACAGGCTTGAACAGGTTCTCTTCCAGAACTCCAGGAAGGTGACGGCCCACAGAGACATGAAGGCACTG